GGGTTAAACAAGCTAAAAGCAGGAAAGAAAACTAATTATTACTTGCGAGAGACCCAAGGCATAACATACGAGACTAAATTAATAAAATTACCTTACGGTTTTGTTTGTGGGCGGCTTGATTGAGAGCGTGGGCAAGTGGTTCCGTCCGCAAAAGGGAGAAAAGAGAAAAAGGCAACTCAGTCTCGCCTCTCAGTCGCGATAGCCAATTCTGTGTATTCTCAAATTCGCGCTCTAAGTGAGTCATAAAATGGTATTCTCAACTGCTTCCTAACTGACATCGTGTATCTCAAATAAAGCGTTAAAAGAACGTGGTTCTGATCTTTGACGTGACCGGTGATATGAAACCACTGAGTTGTATGCATGGTTCTGGTTATGATCGTTCTGCAGCAAATTTTCCAAATCATACCCGCTCAAATAAAAGCTATTAAGGGTTAACATCCTATACAAAAAAAATGGTGCTTTCTTTGTTATGTGGAAACTTGCACATCTGGGAACATTCTGGTAAAGAGATGCACATGACCTCACCGCTTGAAATGGACAGCGAATCAAAAGCGTGGTACAGGGTCAAAACCTTTTGCTGACGAATTCTTGAGGTGCGCTCATTTAAACCAAATTGTTAATAGAACTTTCTTTTCATAGCGGTGTCAGTCGTTTGAATATATACAATCTTGACAAAGTAAAGTACAAAATACTCAATTAATAGGTTTTGAGCCCTTCTTCCCCGAGACTGTACGGCTTATTATATGAACGGAGTACAAGAATATTCTATTGTCTCGTGCAAATCATAGCCGAGTACTTTCTTATGATAGATCAACAGACGAGATAATGCCATATCATGTAGATATTCCATGATAGGGTTATTACTGGATGTCTGGCAGAGGGCACATTAAATAACATGCTCTCAGTCTTGAATGGAGTGCTGCCGGCATATTAGGTACAGCAGGCCACAAAGGCTACACCCAAAGGCCGGATCAGTCCAGAGTCGGGAGCGGATCCTTTGCCGC